CCAGAGCGCAGCAGACGCCGGCGACACTGAAGCGACGGACCATTGAGCATGCTACCCAGATAACTAATACTAATCGAAAGATTCCCCCTAGATACCCAATCAAACATAGTAGCTACTGGCGTGCCCACGACTGTGCTGCCGGTGGTCGGTACACGGGCAGAGTCCTCGGCGCACCAGGAGAGACGATGTTTGAGGAAGGTTTCTCTGGGCACATGGGTGGCGATCCGCACGGTGTTAATCTATGGAGGAATCACTTTGGCGCGCGCACCCGTTCTGTGCGAGATTCTGACAATGTAGTTAGCCAAGTGAACCGTCTATCGTTTGCCGGAGCGAAAAAACGGGGTACCGAAGCAACGAGCAATAAGCCAATTCCTGTAAAGTTAACTAAGAAATGGATGAAAAAAATAAAACCACCGGCTCCAATCCCAGCGAATAAACACATAGATATGATGGACTATATAAAAGGGCATGGCGCATTTACGAAAGTTAAGTCCAAGTCAAGCTCTACAGCTGGCCCAGATGCTCAAGACGCGGCACAAAGTAGGCGTCGCTCCCAGTCACAGGCTCCCCTGTGGCCCATCGAATTAGCGCCCCGACTCGGAAGGGGCTTCGACCCTTGCGCTGCACAATGCTATCAAAACTACAATCAATGTTATCAGCAATGGTGCTCCCCATGGACTTATTATGGTTGAGGCGAAAAGCTATTTGTATAATGTACGAAAATCTGTAAAATATCAAAGTATGCCGCAATGGACTATAAACAGAAGTGTTTCATCAATTCAAGAACAATCCATTGTTATTTATTTTACTGTTAACATGCTGTTAAAAATAATAATACTGTTGAAGAAATTCAAAGCTAACTTTACTTCATCATAGTTGCTTTTTTATGTGTATATGGTGCACAAATGGAAATATTGTTTATTGTTTCCATTGTAATGTTTAAGTGTACACAGTCATCGAAATTTGAATTTTAAAAATTTACAATAAATTTGAAATTTTCGTTTGTATGTTATTTCCTCTAGTATATCCAGAGTCCAGAAATTGCCCAAAGTGACATATTGAGATCATATAACATGGCATGTAATTTTGTTTTCGATATTATAGTAACTCAATTCGAGTCACCGTATGTAAGCAATGAGGAACTAAACAACATTAGTGTAGAGGTCACTTTGAACAATAAAGTAATTAAGATAACTTCGAGTCGCATTAATGTACCAGAATTTGAGTACGGCTCAAGTACAGAATTCGTTGAAACACCAGAGAAGCTGCGCCAGCGTCTAGAATCATGTGGAATGCCGATTATTGTAAAGTGTTCGGGTCAAATTCTTGGCACCGCCCAGATCAGTTTTCCCCAGGACATCATTGACAACATCAACGAGGACATGCCGGAGCTTCAACATATGGATACCTGCTTTATAGGGAAGGGATCGCTAGTTGTTGGCACCCTAGAGCTGATTTGTCGGCTTGTTATGAAATGCGAAGCTCAGCCAAAGTAAGTCGGGAGGGTTCCTAATAGAGCTATCATATCTGATGGAAAACTTTTCTTTGCAGAATGGACGTCAACAGTTGCCTTCGTGATATGGACAAAAGCATTAATCAGCAGGATATTTTGTTTATTATGAGCGACTCACAACGCAACCCCTACTCTGCTTTGCCTGCTCTAGATTCATGGCAGCCAGATGAGGACGAGTATATAAAACTGGATCTGGGACGCTATCCCGATGTTGAGCCAACTCAATTTAAGCATGAAGAGATTTTTAAATACGACCTAATGCGCCCCACCATATGCGAGGACTTGAGAAAAATGGCAACTGAGTACGGCGAAATAATCGACTCAATTACTCAGCTCGCGAGTCAGAAGAGCACATCCCGCCAAACAGCGGGTGCCTCGAAAAGTCCCTGTGGTACACCGTGCTGCTATCCACATTCAACGGCGACCCCCAGTCCCATAGACCTGGCCCTGTCGAACTTGTCATCGAGCCAGTACTCTCCATATAATTACAGCAGCAACATGTGTGCAGCTGCACCGCCCCGTGCAATCAGCTCGCAGCCTAATTACGAGGTGCGCCTCTGTCCTGTATGCCAGAATAATATGTCGTGGCTGCCGAAATACGCCAACTGTCCCAAGTGCGGAATTAAACAGATACCAATCGTTAAAGAGCGGAAGCCCAGGCGAATGACAGCTGATGAAATACTGAACGATTACCTAGGCAAGCCGCCGGCCACCCTCGACGACTTGTGTAAGCTGCCATCCTACGAGTCGTCCAAGGAAAAGTCGTCCAGGTCCACGTGCCGCTGCACATGCAAGAATGGCAAGCTCTGTGCCAACTGTCGATTGCGCAAACAATATCCGGACATTATGCAGCCCAGGTCAACAGATGTCCAAATGCCATCCGAGGAGGACACCGATTCGGATCCCGAACATTATTGTTTAGATACGGAAAAATCGACGGATTATCGTCCGTTTCTATCACGCGTCTTCTCTGAGCTGCGCCATATGTATGACATTGATTTGGGAAAGCAGCCGAACGAGGAGACATGTGCTCAGCCGGAGAGGGAGAAGGAGAAAGAGAACGAAGTCGCTCCAGTTGTGCAAGTCCGAGGAGTAGAAAAAGTAGCCAAGCCCATGGCTAAGAAAAGAGCCCCACCAAATATCATTAGTGGTAAGAGTCGAAAGCGAAAATCGAATAAAAGTAAAACTCACAGACATTGCGTGAAGTCTAAACGACCTGTCGCACGGCGCCATGGCTGGGCTTGGTCCTCCAGCAAGGAGGCACGCAAATATGGCTGGAGACCCGGCGCCATACTCAAGTCAATAAGAAAACTGATGAATTTCTTTTTATATGGCTCGACAAGAAGCTCCACACGTAGAACGTGCATGGACGTGCTGAGAAGCAACGAGGAGAATGAATGTGGGCCCTCAGTGCTCAACGTGACCAAGAAGAACGGCGAAATCACCATTACGTTGCGGCCCACAAACAACAGCCATGTGCAGATGCAGCCCATTGTCTTCAAGGTGGTCAAGAGCGATCTGGCCGTCGCACTCAGCGAGATCAAAACGAAGCTGAGGGCTAAGGGCTTCAGTGAGTGCAGCTGCCGCAACTCCGTGATGATGTGTGTCTGTCGCGATGTCGTGGAGAAGAAATACCTGGAACGGGCGATACAGAGCGAATGCAGGCGGCGTGGCATGGAGAGCTGCGTGGATCAGCTTGTGATGGCGGACAGCAGCGACAGCGAGGCGGAGTTCGATATCGATGTGAACACGCCGGCAGGCGTGGCTAAGCCGCCTTCGCCTAGGCCATCCACAGTTAATTTTGGCATGCAGACAGCAAGGAAACCTGTGCCGGAACCGAAACCATTTCCGATCAAGTACTCGCCCTATTGCCGCTTCTACAACTGTGCTGCCGGCGATCGATTTGCAAACACGGCGTTTGGTGACTTTGGCGAAATCGTGTTTGAGGATGGGCTCTTTGGTTACAAGGAGGGGGGTCCACATGGAGTGCCCCCTGGTGCCCAGCCGAAAAACGCAGCTATTTGGGGGCCAGCACCTGGTGGTCCGATGCGCGGCGGTCGGGGCGTGCCGGGCGGAAAATCATTTCCGGGCATTCCGAAAGCACCACGAGTCATAAGCGATCCAATTCCTGTCAGAATGACGAAGCGTTACTATCGGGCTCGCGAGATAGCCGCCCAAGAAGCCAAGATGGCCCAGGCCGAAATGGCCAAGAAAAAGACAGCAGAAATGATGAAGTACATGATGAGTAAGGGCGCTAAGTCGAAGACACAGAAGTCCAAAGCCAGAGCGTAGCAGCTGTGTAGATGGTATAGAATTTTATATATTTAAATATTTATATTAATTTTAATTTTTTTTTTTTTAATCAAGCCACCATTTGATTTAAAAATTTTGACAATAAAATAATAAGAGACTACAGATTTATTGTGTTTCAATTGAGTTTATGCACAGATCAGATTTAGCAAGCCGTTTGATATTAAAATTATTTGTTTGAATAAAATTGAATGAGCAAGTGAAGAATGGACACGGAGGCGTGTACTTATATGCTCGATGTGATCGTCACCTATTTGAAGACAACAGAAATCAAGATTGAAGATCCCCAGAAGTTGCAAGTGGATGTCTGCTTTGACAACAAGCCGTTGAAGATAACATCGAGTCGGATTAATGTGAAGGACTTCAAGGGCGAATCAACCTTCGAGTTCAACAGCAATGCCCAGATCTTGCGGCAGAATGTAGCAGCGTATGGCATGCCAGTGGTCGTTAAATACGAAGGCAAGGTTATCGGATTGGGAAACATCGGGTTTCCGCCCGTGTTCATTGATCGCATCGATGCGGACATGAATGACATACTGTGTGCCAGCAGCTGCAGGCTTCAGCTGGCGGGGAAAGTTGCCGGCACAATCGAGGTACTCTGTCGCCTCTACATGAAATGTACCGATACAAAGTATGTAGATCTCTTGTCAGACTCATAAATCAGCGAATTAGTTGCGTTTCATCTCAGGCCGCGAGAACCGGACTACAACGAAACTGCAAAGAATAGCATTCACCCGCAAGACATTCTGTTCGTTATGGGAGATGTCCTGCCTTGCCCCAAGGCCACCGATATTTGCCCAGATGTACTGCCGCCAGACGACAACAACCTGCGCTTCGAATTAGGATCGTACCAAAGTGCAGGGCCAAAAAATGATCCTCTTCGACCCATGGAACCTTTCCCGAATAGACCCGCAACCAGTGGCGCCACTTGTGGCATAAAGGTTGCTACACATACAACAAATTTACAAGAGCTCGCTGCTTAGATTTTTCTTCTATTCACAGACTTTGGGCCGCAGACCTGAGCGATTCACGGAAATAGTCGCAAGGGGAGGAAACGACTTCCATCCATTCAAGCTGTCTGCCCGCAAGTCCATTGGAAGAAGCAGCAATGCAATTGGCTTTATGTCAGACAGTCGTAGCACCCCAAATATGCACTTCTCTGTAAACGATCCAGTCAGCGCGGACAGCAACAACGATTTGTACGACCCGCTGCTAGTCCTAGTGGATGAGCAAAATGCAGACATAAAGGGCACTCGCTTCTGCCCCATCTGCCTGACCAACATGTCGTGGTTGCCCAAGTTTGCGGCATGCGTGAATTGCGGTGCTAAGCCTGTGCCAGCCATTGAGCAGTGCCACAAGGAGAAGACGCCAACGGCTGACGAAATCTTAAAGGATTTACTGGGCAAGCCGCCAGAAACTATTGAGGAATACTGCAGTAAGCAAACTCCTACAGTTGTGGTTGAGGAAAAAGATCTGAAGCCCGCGTGTCGGTGCACTTGCCAGAACGGAAGAACCTGTGCCCACTGCCGGATACGTAAACTCTGCGCTGATATTTTCCATGAGGATGAAAAGCCCGTTCCTTGCCTTGGCGCCAAAGAGCACACGATCGAGAACATTTGCATGGAAAGTAAGACGTTGGAGAAACGCGGCCCACATCTGACGCGGGTATTCTCCGAGCTCCGCGATCTGTACGACATCAATGCCACTAAGCTGTCCGATGAGTTGAAAGACAAATGCGATCCAGTGGCATGCAAACCAAAGGACAACAACTTGAATGCGAGTGCCAAGCCCAAATCGAAAGCAAAGCCATTGGTAAAAGTCGAGAAAACCGTCTCAGCAACTGCCTTGCAAAAGCGATTGCCCGTCAGAGTCGGCCACAAGTTCTGTGCTCAGCCACCCAGCAACGTGCCACCAAATCACGGATGGGCCTGGACCAAGAGCAAGGAGACCCGCAAGTACGGCTGGCAGCCAGGCTTCGTGCGCAAGTCGATCAAACGGATTATGAAATTCTTTTTGCAATACCTGCCCGAGCGCAATGCGTTCAACAGGTGCCTGAACGTCGCATGCAATGAGAATGGGAATGAACAAAACTTGCCCACACTGCGCGTATTCAAGAAGAAGGGCGAAATCTTCATTACTCTGCGCGCTGTCAACAACACGGAAGCGGAAGTAAAGCCGATTGTGTTCAAGATTGTTAAGAGCGACTTGGCCGCCGCTCAAAGCGAGATCAAGAAGACGCTTAAGGCCAAGGGCTACCGCAAGTGCACCTGTCACAATACGCTGATGATGTGTGTCTGTCGCAGCGTCTGCGAGAAAAAGAAACTCGAGGGAGCTCTGCAAAAGGAGTGCAGTCGTCGAGGCATAGAAAGCTGTGTGAACCATCTGGTGCTAACAGACACCAGCGACAGCGAAATGGAATTTGACATTCACGTGACAGCACCGACTCAGGAGGCGCAGTCTCCCGCGATTCTGAAACCCCCGACCGCTAATATTGCCACCCAGGTGAAGAATGTTAGTCTATGCACCCCACCCAGATATCCCCTCAAGCAAAATCCCTACCGGCGTGTCTATGACTGTGCTACCAATGGCCGATACACTGGCACAGTCTTCGGCAGGCCGGCAGCGATAGTGCTTGAGGACGGGATGTTTGGACAAATGGGCGGCGGGCTGTATAAAGGGAATACTACTCCGGGGAGCACCAGCAGTGGCTCGCTCCAATGCGATTTTAAAACTCATGAGTATATTGGTCGTGCTCAACCTGAGCAAAAGCTGATCAAAAGTTTGTTTGCCCCAAGCTTTAAGGGTCGTCTTCTCAACGACGGACGGCTTACTGGCGGGATGGCTGTTCAGGCAATACCTGGTTTAAACAAGCAGCCGGCTAACGGGGAATGCGACTCCAAGTGCAGGCCGAAAGCAACGCCCAAGCGTTTGGCGATGAAAACCAAAAATAAACTCAACTCCCAGACTGCAGACAAGGAAAACAAAATAGAAAAGAGTAAACAAAATAAGGACATGCATTACGTGAAGAAAAGCGGCTCCTTTACTAAGCCAAAGCCTCTACTCATACAGGATGGCCTAACCGACTTACAGAAGAGACAACGCGCTTTCTTGCAAATTCGCTCACCTCCCATCGAGCTCGCCAATCGTAAGGGCAACGAGTGCCAGAATACACGTACCACTAAATGTTTATGTTCTCGTTTTAACAATTTCTAAACATAAATTATTGTATATGTAAATGCAATGTATATGTATATGTAATAAAAAGTCATTATAAATCAGTTTAGCTTGTTATTTCCGTAATGGCCT